CGTATAGTTTAATACGCCAGCATATTTCAATTCCTAATACATATATGCGATATAAAAAAAAATAAAAAATAGTAACAAATATTCTCTAGCATTTCAAGAATAAAGAAAAAAATGTTTCAATTATACAATATGTGTTGTATAACATGTTTGTGATATATGTATTATAATATAATTTTTTAAAGCACAATTCTCTATTGATTCTTTTTTCTAATCTCGCGTAGAAACGTGCTTTTTCTAGGTTGCGAGATGTAATATCTTCGCTATTGTATTTTCCAGCAACAGAAATTGCACACTCGCTCGTTACCATTGCTGTAAAGCCGGATCGACATAGCTATCAGTATTGCTACGTTGACAAACACTTTTAATGAATTATCCTTTGTCGCCGAAATATACGTTCCACGTGGAAGTCAAATGCTGCAATAAATTTTCATCGATACAGTGTATGTATAAAATAATACCACCAACGTAACCAGGCTTCGTTGCAACGCGACGTGTCGCAAAATGTGTGCGCGATCCCCGTGTATGTATTACGAGCCAATTAATTATCGAGTCGTCACGCAAGTACACCACACACGACCCTATCGATTAACACCCGACCAATCTCACCTCTCCTGCCTTTCCTACGCGACGGTTTTTGCACTGCGCCGTAGGGCGAAACTGAGAGAGGACTTAATAAAGCCAACTCGACAGCTATCGATCTCTCCCGCTCGTTCGCGAAGGTACTAAATTTCGCCCATCGAGATCGGCCAAATGGCTCTACGTTTTTACAAAGCTTCATCTTCGTTGAGCTTCCCACCAGTCGCGGCTACACTTCCTGTTTTTAATCACCCGGCTCTCTCGAATTTGAATTATGATATGAAGGATTTGTTATTATTTCACTACATTCATACATACACGCACATCCACTCAAACAGAATTCTTTTAACGAAAACTACACATCCTTTTTCTATTTGCATCAGCATCGCTTACGCAGACAAAATTTAAATTCAATTCTCCCTGTTTACCCAGCTTTGATATTAATATCATAACTTATTTCATAATTCTTTTGTATAATCTTTTGTAGAAGAAAAATGTAGTACTCTTATTATGCAATTTTTTAATATAGCACATCTTCATTGTAAGATGTTGTTCCATATAGATTTTTATTTTTATTTGAAGAGAGAGAGATTTCGCATTTGCTTTTATTTTCTGGTATATATTTCTACACCATGAATTGTATAAATAAATCATACATTAAATATATCCCTAAAACACGTAAAACTTTCTAATGTATTCACTATATTTTAATTATTTTTTCTATATAATAAATCTAATCAAAATAAATAACAGTATAAAATTGTATGTAATAATGATGAAAATTCACTAGAATTTGTTTAATAAATCTATCTTCACAATCTATCACTCTGGTCTAATACGATATGCTATTGTACACATAATGTCTATAGACTCATCGAGACTGAGTAAACGATTGTTTCTTTCATAGCGAGTCCACTTTTCTCGTTGATGTATCGACGTTTCCTGTTTGTGCACGTTTTTATCATCTCTTCCGTTCAATACCAATAATCTTCTTACCTAGCTTCTTAACTAGCTAGCTATGAATACATAATCACGGTATAAGAGCAATAGAAAAATCATAAGAACATTAGAAAAATCAATTAAAAATAATAGATTAAACAAAGTTATAAATATTCTTTATAAAGATATATTCTATTATAAAAAAAGTTATAAATTTTTATTCACAGACGTTTGTCGATAAATTTAAAGTTAAAAAGCTTTAAGTTTATAAAATAAAACTTTTAAAGTAGCAAAGAAGAGCTCAAGAACTGTTTTGCTCAATATATATTTTCAAAACTAAGAGTTTATATTTAATTTATTGAGTTATATATTTTCTAAATTAAGAATTTATTTTCTAATATAATTATATTATGAAAAATTGAAACAGTAAAAAATTCACTCACAGAAAATAAATATAGAATTGCGATTTTTGCGAGAAAACTGTAAAATGTGGATTGATATCATACTAGTTCGCTCAAAAGCTACACGAATACTATATCAGCGTACCGAACATAAATTGTAAAAAAGTAAGTCCGACATTTCGTTGTATTAAATGGAAACCAATTCGCGGCGAAATATAAGTTTCGCCGAAGATTTGCGGAATGGAATCAGACGTGGCTGCAAACCACATCGGTCGAAATGATCATAAACCTTGGCTGTATTTGAGAAACGAAATAAAATAGAATATCCCACGGCTGGCCCGAACCCCGTTAGAAGGAGCCGGGAAAGTTAATCCGTGGGATCATTGAGAACTCACGCGAATCTATTTGCCGCTTTGGAGAGTCTTCTCTTCGTAAAGTTCTTCTGAACGGGGTTAAGAGATCGGCCATCGGAAGAGCGCCACGACTCAGCAGTCCCACGGTATTTACGGTTTGCCTCGTGTCGCAACATTTTGCGGGCCTCCCCGAGTGTCCGAAGTTTCCAGCGAGAGAAGTTTTCCCTCTGCGTTGCAATTAAGGGGCCTCTCAAACGGCAGTTTCAACTCGCGACCGATCCTCTCCTCTCCTCATGCGATCGGTACAAACTCTCGAAGCCGAGCCTCTCCGAGAGGCGAATTGCATTCGATATAGGATAATGCTTTCACCGGCGGCCCACGCTTTGCAATCGACGTTGTTTGAGACTTCGATTGAGATTTAACACGCTATCCCTCCCTCAAAGTTACAGACAGTGGCCAAATCTCTCAAACTTCGATAATGCAAATTTTTGTGCCAAAACATTTCATCTTTCACATAATTCATCGAGATATTCGGTGTCATTGCATTGTGTCTAATCTATTAATTCACCTGTATGCGATAAAACCGTATGGCAATTCTGATAACATAATATATTATATGTTAACTTGTGAATTACAACAACAATAAAAAGCAAGATTTAAATGTAGCTATGTCATATATAATATTATAAAGTTTTCTCTGATCTCATCCACTTCTGTCATTTAGCTATAGTAAACAATGGTAATCTGTGTGTAATAAGTCTTTTTGTAATAAACATCCGGCTGAATTTAGTGGATTATAAAGATTAAGTTTTTCCCGACTATTTTTTACTATCAGTGTGCTGTTACATAAAATTAGTAAGAAAGTAATTCACTTACAAGATGACAAAAAGAAATCCATTTAATATCTTATATTTTTAATTTTTTCGTTTTATTTGCAGACAATTTATATTGCTTGCAAATATATCATGACTTTTCTAATATCTAATATAATGTGATTTAATTTAATTTAACTTCAATTAAGATAAAACAAGCAAATATGTTCCGGATATACTTAGGGAGTTGGTGGACTTTTATAAAATATAATAACAGAATTTATTGTGAGAGAAACATACTATCAACTTTACTCATTATGATCAAATCTTCACATATATATATATATATATTAACGCTTAAGGAATATAATAGATATTATATCCAATTAATAAGTCACCGTTAAATGTAGAAAACAGAATATCTGAACGGTATATAGAATTTCATTTAATTCAGTCAAACATAAATGTCTTAAAGATATGATAATTTCATGACGTCAAATAAATATAAGGATTAGACATATATAAAACATGACATCAAATCAAACATAAATATTAAACATATATATATCAAGACGTCAAATCAAACATAAGTATTAAACTAATTTAAATCAAGACGTCAAACCAAACATAAGTATTAAACACATAAAAAGCAAGGCGTCAAATCAAACAACAGTATTAAACATATATAAATCAAGACGTCAAATCAAACTTGAGAATTAAACATATATAAATCAAGACGTCAAGTCAAACATAAGTATTAAACACATATAAATCAAGACGTCAAGTCAAACATAAGTATTAAACACATATAAATCAAGACGTCAAATCAAACATGAGTATTAAACACATATAAATCAAGACGTCAAGTCAAACATAAGTATTAAACACATATAAATCAAGACGTCAAGTCAAACATAAGTATTAAACACATATAAATCAAGACGTCAAATCAAACATAAGTCTTGGTGAGATCAACAACCATAAGTGACGTTAGTATTTTATAAACATATAAAATTAGTACGTTAAACCAGACAAAAGGTATCGTAGCAGCGAATAGATTCAATACGTTAAATAGATGTGAATGACTTTAGTATCCTGGCTAGGCCAATCTTAATAGAATCCTGGCTAGGCCAGTCTTGAAAGAATCCTGGCTAGGCCAGTCTTAATAGAATCCTGGCTAGGCCAGTCTTAAAAGAATCCTGGCTAGGCCAGTCTTAATAGAATCCTGGCTAAGCCAGTCTTGAAAGAATCCTGGCTAGGCCAGTCTTAATAGAATCTGGCTAGGCCCGTCTTGAAAGAATCCTGGCTAGGCCAGTCTTAATAGAATCCTGGCTAGGCCAGTCTTGAAAGAATCCTGGCTAGGCCAGTCTTAATAGAATCCTGGCTAGGCCAGTCTTGAGAGACTTGTTACCTTGTCGAATCCTTTTAATTAAGAATACAAACGGCTCTTTTTCTTTCCTCATCAGGCGAACTCAAGGGAATTTGTCCTCCAAACCAAGAGATATGTCCCATCTCATAGTTAACCTTAAAAGGTTCCAAAGCGTCCAAGCTCGTAGTTTTCCAAAAGAATTATATATTCAAATCAATCTCTCCTCAATGTCTGAACCGAACGGAAACCTTTTTATCACTGAACTTAAGCGTCTCCACGGACAGTAGAGAATCGACCAACAAGGATTCCTAAGCAACGATACACGTTTGTTTTTTTTTTCAAGAGAGGATCGCGAACAGAAGCCGACTCGGCTTAGCGGGACGACGAAGGAAGAGGCTAGCGCCTCAAGCGTTCGTCTTAGGCACTAACGGCCTCTCGTAGCGCCTCTTCTTCCGGCGCGCTACGCGTCACTCGCGGAGGCGAATAAGACGCGAGAATTCAAACGTCAGAGAGTTTCCCAAACATTACCGCCCGCCTTCGTTAACTCGGCTTAACGAACCAACAAAGGATCTTGGTGTATGGGCAATGGGCAGAGTTTGACGACGGGTCGTTTCAACATGGTAGTTTGAGTCTTTACCGTGACTACTCGAGTAAGGCCGTCTTTTCCGGGATGTGTGTCAACGATCCGACCTAGAGGCCATTTGGAAGGTGGATACCTTTCGTCGACTACTAGTACCATATCTCCGTTCTTCAAAGAGGGTGTCGGATGACTCCATTTAGAGGTGTCGTGAAACCGTTGAAGACATTCTTTAGACCATCGGGACCAGAAACTTTCCAGCATTTGTCGTAACAATTGCCATCTGGATAGGCGTGACAAATTAATGTGTTCAAGCGAAGGCTCTGGTAGAACTGTAGGTGCGTGTCCTAGGATGAAATGTCCAGGTGTTAATGCGGCTAAGTCTTCTGGATCGTCAGAAAGAGGAGACAAAGGTCTTGAGTTCAGAACCGCTTCGATCTGAGTTAAAAGTGTTGTCATTTCCTCGAAGGTAAGCAAGTGATTACCAAGGACTCTCTTTAAGTGGAACTTAACCGATTTCACGGCTGCTTCCCACTTGCCGCCAAAGTGAGGAGCACTAGGCGGGTTGAAATTCCATTGTGTTCCGTCTTGGGTGAGTAGGGAGGCCAATTGTTTATGTTCTTGAGATGCTTCAGAGAGTAATTTCTTTAGCTCCGTGTCAGCTCCTATCAAATTAGTACCGCAATCACTGAACAAGTTAACGCAGATTCCTCGTCGAGCAGTAAACCTTTTATATGCTGCTATAAAGGCGTCAGCGGAATAATCTGAAACAAGTTCGAGGTGTGTTGCTGATGTGGCAAAACAAACGAATACGGCAATGTAAGCTTTGTACTGCCGCGCATTTTTTCCTCTCCAGGTCTTGATGAGAAGGGGGCCAGCGTAGTCAATTCCGGTGTTGATGAATGGGCGTGAAGTCGGTGTTACTCGTTCAGGCGGAAGCTGTCCCATGAGCTGTTGCGCTCTCTTTTGTCTGTATCTTGTGCAAATGACGCAACGCAGGATAAAATTTTTTATCGGCAACCGACCTCCAATGATCCAGTAAGAATCTCGCAGGAGGGTTAACGTTACTTGTGTACCTCCGTGGCAAGTTCTCAGATGAGCATCTTGGATAATGAGCTCCGTTAATGGCGATTGCTTTGGGAGGATTAGAAGATGTTTCCTTTCTGGAGGTAACGTTGAATTCTGAAGCCGACCACCCGTTCTTAAGAGCCCGGATGCGTCAATGTATGAAGTCAATTTGGTGAGTGGGTTCGACTTAGGAAGGAACTCTCCTCGTGATAAAAGCTTGATTTCATGAGCGAAGTGTTGCCGTTGAATGCTGTTGATCCAATAGAGTTTAGCGGACTCTAATTCAGTCGTGCTGAGGAGTTCTCTTGGACTAATTTTGATCCGTTTAAATCGTTCAACTGCTCTCTGACACACAGCCGTAATGCGTAAGAGCTTATTGAGATTGGAATATCTTGTTAACAAATCCCATGGGGGTTGCGGTTCAATGGTTATGAGTGAATAAACTTTGGTGGGTCTTTCTTCAAGATTATCCGAGGTAGCAGTTGAAGGGAAGCAATCTGGCCAACAATCAATCGATTGTGAAAGCCAACATGGTCCTTTCCACCAGATGGTTTGGGACGCGAGTTTTGATGGCGACAAACCTCTGGTGGCGAAATCAGCTGGGTTCTCCTTGCCGGGAACGAATTTCCACTTAGCTTGAGGTAGTGTTTCTTGTATTTGAACTACACGATTTTGAATAAAATCTTTCCATCGGGATGGATGGTTCTGAATCCAGGTTAGAGTGATGGATGAGTCCGTCCACAAGTAAATAGGAACGTCCTTCAAGTTGAGAACATCACGGACGTGCGTGGTTAGTTTGGTGAGAAGTACTGCTCCTGATAGTTCTAATCTGGGAATGGTAAGACGCTTCAAAGGCGCTACCTTCGTTTTAGTGGCAATTAGGCAAACGTTAATCTGGTCTTCAAGGTTCACGGTTCGGAGGTAGATTACTGCTGCGAAAGCTTGATTAGATGCATCGCAAAATCCGTGTAATTGAACTTGATTATCCGATTTGATGCCAAGCCAACGAGGAATATTGATGAATTTGAGGTCTTCTAATTCCTCAACGAAAGTTATCCACTGATTTGCCAAAGTGCTTGGTAACAACGCATCCCAATCGAGTTTGTTGATCCACAATTCTTGAATAAGTATTTTGGCTTTGATGATTACAGGTGAGAGTAGTCCAAGCGGATCGAAGAGCTTAGCAATCGTGGATAATATCGTTCGTTTGGTGATAGTGGCCGTAGAAGGTCGATCTAGACTAAATTGAAAGTAGTCGGCAGTAGGCTTCCACTGTAGACCAAGTACTGCTACACAGGAGTCCAAATCAAAAGGTATTGGATCCGGATTTCTCAACCGTTCTGGTGGTAGATGATGGAGTACATGAGCGTGATTACTAGACCACTTTTGTAGCGGGAAGCCGCCCGCCTTGCACAACTGGTTAAGTTGATTGATGATTTCATGGACCTCACCAATTGATTCTGCTCCTCCGAAAATGTCGTCGATATATCGTCCGTGTTTTAGGCAAGGAACTGCTGATGGAAAATTGGTTCCCTCATCTTCAATAAGCTGAGTAATGGTACGAAGCGCTAAATAAGGCGCGCAAGCCAATCCATAAGTAACAGTGGTGAGCTCAAAAGAGTTGACATCCTTGTCTGAATTCGACCATCGGATGCGTTGAAATCTCCAATCGTCGGGGTGTACTTGGATTTGCCTATACATCTTTTCTATATCAGCAGAAAAGACGTATTGGAATTGCCGAAACCAAATAAGAACGTTGAATAAATCCACTTGAAGCTTTGGGCCTGTATGCAATATCTCATTTAGAGAAATTCCGGATGTTGTACGACTTGATCCATTGAACACGACTCGTAGTTTCGTAGTTGTACTACTCTCCCTCCACACTCCATGATGAGGAAGATAAAAATTGGGAGGTAAAAGTTCTTCATTTACATCGGTTATTAATTTCATATGCTGGAGGTCTTCATATTCCCTCATAAATTTGAAATAGGCTTCCGCATATTTTGCGTTCACTTGAAACCGATTTCGCAGAGAATCCATCATTCTTGAAGCTCGATTATAAGAGTTTCCTAAACGTTGAGGAGGCTTCTTGAAGGGCAGACGCACCACATACCGTCCTTGATCGTTCCGAGAGTGGGTATCTTTAAAGTGTTGCTCACATTGTTGATCTTCCGGGGAGATGAAGGATTCTTGGCGTGCACCAATTTCTTCAAGTTGCCAAAAACGATGGAGAAGGTCATATAAGCGGGAATCCATTGAAATATGGTAACTTCGCATAGAACGATTCGTCGATTCCGATGAAGCGGGGCCGGAGAGGATCCAACCAAACGAGGTTAATTGTGCAATAGGCGTATTCGGCGGACCTTTGATTAAACCGTCCTTAATGATCTGAGGGTAACAATTGGAACCGATGATTAGATCAATCGAACTGGGAATTCCATATTGAAAATCGGCTAAAGGCAATCCATCCAGATGTGACCAGGATTCTCCGGAGACTTTACTTGACGGGATCGAACTCGTTAAGCTAGGGAGAATATGCGCTGATATGTGGAATTCTTCTGATGAATCATGGAGAGAAATAATCTTGAAAAAAGTGATGCCACGAGTCTTGTTAGTAGAATGTTCCCCGACACCTATCAGGGAAATACTTGATTTGGAGCGAGGAAGCTTGAGAGCTTGGACAATTTTTTCCGAAATGATGTTGATCTCCGATCCCTGATCTATAAGGGCTTTGATCTTCATGATACGTCCATTTTCGTTGGCAATTAACATTTGAGCGGTGGCGAGAAGAGTGCACATAGACGCCTGATTAGCATGTACAGCGGCATGCAATACTTGCGAGGGAGTGGTCTTGCCTGAAGTTTCGGTGGATGGTTTAACCAATGGGTGTTTAAATTGACTTTCCATCTTGGGAGGTGTTTTTTGGTGAATCGTAGTGTGGTGCTTCTTACCACACTTAAGACATCGTCGAGTTGATTGACATTTTGAAACTCGATGTTTCCCCAAACAATTGTAACATAATCCTAGCTTTGTGATTAGAGAGTGTCGTTGCTGCGTAGTTTGAGAGGTATATTGAGGGCAAACGCTCAAGAAATGTTTGGCAGAGCACACGATACATGAGGAGAATTGTGAGCCATTAATTTTCTTTTGAATCTGATGATAGGCCTTAACTGCTTGCGATGGGATTTCTTTTTTATTGGCAAGTTTTGCGAATTTTCAAAGGCCTGCAAAGAGAGAAGGCGAGTAACAAGAAACTCACACAGATGTTTCCAAGTCGGAGGTTCTTTTGTGGAACCGAGATGATGCTCCCAGACTTTAACGGATTCGGCATCCAGCCTTTGAACGGTTAGGAACACTAGAAAATCATCCCAGTGTTCAACTGGGCGTTGTAGCGTCTCTAGTGAGCGATAAATTTGCATGATGTTGGTGTAAAGACGCTCGAGCTCACTGGAGGATTCCTTCGCGATCTTCTTGAGGGAGAGCAACGATTGAATTGCTGAATTTACAAGTAGTCGTTTGTTTTCATAAAACGAGATCAGATCGGTCCAAGCCTTTTGGAAATTATCCGCAGTAAGAGCCGTGTTCTTGAGGAGATAAGCTGCAGTGCCAGTCAGACTGGCTTTTAAATATTGCAACTTTTCGACCGGACTTAGGCTTATATTTCCAATAATGATGGAAGAAAATAGATCTTTGAAGGACATCCATTCGGAAGCATTTCCACTGAATTTCGGCAGGTCGATTCGAGGGAGTCTTGTGTGATGAGAAACAGCCAGTTGGTTAGATACAGGTTGAGAGAGAGATTGAGTTGAAGATGTCCTTGGAATAGTAAAATCCGAGTCGTGATGAGCGTTCATCTTGTCCAGAGAGTCCAGATATTGCTCATACGTTCGAGCATAGCAATCCTCTTCAAAATAAGTGTGATTTCGAATCAACTCGTTGTCTTCTGTACTGAGCTGATTGACAGCTACAATAACTGCTTCATGAACAATAGAGAATTTTTCCCAATTCTCATTTAAAGCTGTAACACGAGCTTTAATCAGCCTTGAAGTGATGTCAGTCGTTGGAATTTTATTGAAGCTTTCAATTGCTTGAAAGATCAGGGCACTCAAAGATATCTGCTGCTCGATGCGAGCTTCCACGTGAGAAATCCTCATGATGCTTGAAGATAGATTATCGGTGGTATTAATCCTTTGATGGTATTTCCAATTCAACCAAATTATCCAGTTCTCATATAAAATCCGGCTTACATAATATCTGGCTCACCTAAGTATCCGGCTCGAAGGACCAAATGTTCCGGATATACTTAGGGAGTTGGTGGACTTTTATAAAATATAATAACAGAAATTTATTGTGAGAGAAACATACTATCAACTTTACTCATTATGATCAAATCTTCACATATATATATATATATATATATATATATATAAACGCTTAAGGAATATAATAGATATTATATCCAATTAATAAGTCACCGTTAAATGTAGAAAACAGAATATCTGAACGGTATATAGAATTTCATTTAATTCAGTCAAACATAAATGTCTTAAAGATATGATAATTTCATGACGTCAAATAAAATATAAGGATTAGACATATATAAAACATGACATCAAATCAAACATAAATATTAAACATATATATATCAAGACGTCAAATCAAACATAAGTATTAAACTAATTTAAATCAAGACGTCAAACCAAACATAAGTATTAAACACATAAAAAAGCAAGGCGTCAAATCAAACAACAGTATTAAACATATATAAATCAAGACGTCAAATCAAACTTGAGAATTAAACATATATAAATCAAGACGTCAAGTCAAACATAAGTATTAAACACATATAAATCAAGACGTCAAGTCAAACATAAGTATTAAACACATATAAATCAAGACGTCAAATCAAAACATGAGTATTAAACACATATAAATCAAGACGTCAAGTCAAACATAAGTATTAAACACATATAAATCAAGACGTCAAGTCAAACATAAGTATTAAACACATATAAATCAAGACGTCAAATCAAACATAAGTCTTGGTGAGATCAACAACCATAAGTGACGTTAGTATTTTATAAACATATAAAATTAGTACGTTAAACCAGACAAAAGGTATCGTAGCAGCGAATAGATTCAATACGTTAAATAGATGTGAATGACTTTAGTATCCTGGCTAGGCCAATCTTAATAGAATCCTGGCTAGGCCAGTCTTGAAAGAATCCTGGCTAGGCCAGTCTTAATAGAATCCTGGCTAGGCCAGTCTTAAAGAATCCTGGCTAGGCCAGTCTTAATAGAATCCTGGCTAGCCAGTCTTGAAGAATCCTGGCTAGGCCAGTCTTAATAGAATCTGGCTAGGCCAGTCTTGAAAGAATCCTGGCTAGGCCAGTCTTAATAGAATCCTGGCTAGGCCAGTCGTGAAAGAATCCTGGCTAGGCCAGTCTTAATAGAATCCTGGCTAGGCCAGTCTTGAGAGACTTGTTACCTTGTCGAATCCTTTTAATTAAGAATACAACGGCTCTTTTTCTTTCCTCATCAGGCGAACTCAAGGGAATTTGTCCTCCAAACCAAGAGATATGTCCCATCTCATAGTTAACCTTAAAAGGTTCCAAAGCGTCCAAGCTCGTAGTTTTCCAAAAGAATTATATATTCAAATCAATCTCTCCTCAATGTCTGAACCGAACGGAAACCTTTTTATCACTGAACTTAAGCGTCTCCACGGACAGTAGAGAATCGACCAACAAGGATTCCTAAGCAACGATACACGTTTGTTTTTTTTTTTCAAGAGAGGATCGCGAACAGAAGCCGACTCGGCTTAGCGGGACGACGAAGGAAGAGGCTAGCGCCTCAAGCGTTCGTCTTAGGCACTAACGGCCTCTCGTAGCGCCTCTTCTTCCGGCGCGCTACGCGTCACTCGCGGAGGCGAATAAGACGCGAGAATTCAAACGTCAGAGAGTTTCCCAAACAAAATAATAAAACAGTAATATTAAGCAAGTAAACTTAAAAAAAAGTTGACAAATCGCATTATTTATATCAACTAATTAATTTTCTAAAAGAAATTGAATTACTATAGTCGTAGCAAAACAAGATCTTATAATTATTTATTTGCCTAAAAATAAATCTGTGGATAGAAACAGACCTTCATATTATGTAAAATTAAACATTAAAAAAGAACAATTTGCGCTACAACGTAAATTGCGCATCTTAGAAAAAGAATACGAACATATATATGTATAGTAACTTTAAAAAACGATTCTTTAAGTTATTACATTGCGTACACTTTGCAGGCACGTACAAAGAACTTTCCAATTAAGGTTGCCGTAGTAACGACAACGACTGCACGCGCATAGACGAGGGATCAGAAAAGCGATGGAACCGGTAAAACACCGCACGATATAGTGGGAAGAGCTTGAGATGATGTACAAGTGCTTTGCAGCAGTTTGTAGTATAAAAGAGAGAGGGAGGGAAAGAAGAAGAGAGAGAAAAAAATGTTGGGTCGTGCGCGCGTCTAATTTCAATTTTCCGCAAACGTGGTACCATATCGCGCGCGTCTCTGGTTTAATTAAATTTGTTTAGAGATCAAGCAAAATAGCCGGTGAGAAAGCACGACCGTGTCACAGCTTGTGAAGACGCCGTAGAACCACAGGTCATTGCCGTCCCTTCACCTTCGCGCGTGTCTCAAAGATACTATACGTACTTCCCACACCCTTATCCAGTTACAAGTCGCTCGATCCGATCGACTTCCATGAAGACCGCGTTTCGCGAAGATCAGAGCTTCCGGCGAAAAAGCTTTTTCTCTATCGCCCTGAGATTTTCGTGCTGCAGAATGGAAGAATTTTTCTTAGGGGTTCGCAATCTCTCTCTCGCAAGGAGACGTATTTTTAGGATCGTTCACGCCCACAAAGATGGTTTTGCAACGGTCTGTAAACGGTGAAAATTTAAAGGAAGATCCCTTGCGATCATGGGAGGAAATGCTAGAGGGTAATGATCAATCCCGAACGCTTTTCAGCAACTTTATTTCACGTCCTATAAAAGCAAAATAAAATAGCAAGTGACGAGTTTAATTGATCGTACTTTT